TTCCCAATTATATTAGGGATTAATTTAATTCAATGCAATCAGACAAACTTCATTAACTAAAAAGTCAATCATTAACTCTTGAGTTAAGTGAGAGGGCACGGGAGCTCGGTTCACAGGAGCCTCATTGGCCCCTCACTGTTTGCGATCGGGCTCCACATATATTTAAAAAAAAATGTGGGGTTCGCCCCTATTCCTACCTGAGAGGGACCTGTAAAATAAGCTCCCCTGTACGTGCATTATTTTCCTTGGTGGGACTGGAATCTAAAAAAATAAGGGAGTCGCTATATTCATGTATCATTCTTATATATCTATCTTCTTCTTCTTCTTCTTCTTTTTTGTAAAAAAATCGAAAAATGGTGATTATATTCACCGTGCATTTTTTTAAAATACATCATATTTTAATTACATTAAAAATTATGAATATTTATTCATTATCACATTTATATCCTTAACTTTCATTGTCACATTCTCATTTTTAACCTCTCGTTAATCAAAAAGTTGTCCTTAATTATGATTTCTTCCAAAAATATTGTAGAAGTGCTGTATACGAGGCCCGATATTCAATTGCATTTTTACAGTATTATTTGTTTTGCTTATTCAAAAATACAATAGACAGGTGAGTATTTTCACCCTATCTTAACAAATTGTTATAAAAGTTGGGATCCTATAAAATATGTGATTGATAATAAATCTGAGAAAAAAATGAGCTCTAGAACATGAGAGCCAAACAAGGACGTAGTATTTAAATGAATAATTTTGGGTTCTGTTTGAGCTCTATTATTTCCTCATTAAAATGAAAAATATGACCATTATCTATCACATCAAGCCACCATATTGACTTTTATCTCTTGTGTGGGGTCCATAACGACTATATTTTTCATTTTCATTTTTTATTGTGGCTCAAATGGGGACTTAATAAGGATACAATAAAATACAATAAATAGGTACAATTAATCAGGTATGCTTTTATTATTCAATTTATAGTCTCACGTGTATATTGTCTCCACGTTTACAAAGTTAAGCGTTGGAGGAGCAACAACAACAAACCTCAACGCCTGTTGTTTTAGGTACTCAAGCGAATATCAATGTCGAGTCTATGCCAATGATCTAAGGTTGAGATTATGATCAAGCCTACTCCCTTTAGAATATAAGCTCGAGGTTTAGCCCACATTAGATTAAGGTCAAGCTTACCTAGCCCAGCCCAATTTTTTGAGGTCTCGTGGGATCCTCTTCTATTTCACCTCGTGCATGCTCCAGCATGATTTTTAGGAGCATTATCTATTATTCGCAATAAGCATGCATAAATTATGATATGTTTAATTCGATGTCTTGAATAAGGTTTATTGTGTGTGAGATGAAGCTCATCTTCATTTACAAGTTAGGTGAAGTCTCTCTCAATTCTAATTTATTTAACACAAAATTGGTTCACTGTGCCATTTTTTGTTGCCTCATATTCTTGGCTGCTTATATAATTACATTTTTTTAAAAGTTCAATTTATTTGTAAAATGTAATTGGAAGATACAATTGTGCAAAGAGTTATGCTACACTTATAAAGGTGGGTTACAAAGTTGGTTGACAAAATAATATTCATACCAATCATTTTAAAAACAGATTTTTAAATCATTTCAAATACATTACTTGAATTTTGTCAACACACTTTGTAATCCAAATTTTTTAACACAATTTTGTACAAGTAGCTTTATTGTTGTGCAAATGGAGTTATGCTACACTTACAAAGGTGGGTCACAAATAGGGCTGTAAGCAAAAATCGCCAAACCGGAAAATCGAACCGAAACCACATTTTAGAAACCGTCGGTTTGGTGCCACGTGGATCCGGTCAACGAAATGGTTTTGATCTAAACCAAACCAGTCTAAATTGTTTGGTTTAAGTTTGAGAATTTTAATTGCGGCTTAAAACAAAACCGAACCGGCGAAAAAATATATAAGAATAAAAAAATGAAATTTTTTGAAAATTCATCCAAATATTTAAAATTCAATAGTTTTATCTTTTGTGGGTATTCTTGTCATTTTCTAATTTTCTAATACAGATATAGTATTATTATCCGATAATCATAATTTATATCTAATAATCTCAAGACTAACATAATCTATCAAAAGCTCTTTTCCTCTTTAGAATTTAGATGAACTCCAGCCGACATCCAACATAGTCTTGAGCCACCGGTACGACATACTTCTTTTTCAAATTTTCACGCCTCTTCAAAGTTAAATTGAAATCAATTATACCCAATCGAAGACAAAGAGATCTTAGACCTTCAGTGATAATATTTGCTACAATAAAGTTTCAGATGAATAATTTTTTTGGAGCAAATTAAGGTAAGAATCTGAAATTAAATGCGTTTCGTAACATAATACAAACGTAAAATTGTATAATTGTTATATTTAGATATTATAAATAATTGCTTTATTAGTGTGGTTGGTTTTTTTTTTTTTTTTTTTGGTTTAATCAGTATCCTTTTTTCAGATATGATGATCACAAGGTCTTGTTGGACATCATTATATTTTTTGACCTTATATCTAGTTTAGTAGACTTATATTGTAATGTTATTGTATCGTCATTAGCTTAAAAAATGTGAACAAAAAAAAACTATGTTTTAGTTTATTATGATTTCACTTTGATTTAGTTGGTATTTAAATTTATAGTAGATATATTTAGCTCTGTTTGAGTCATATTTTTCATATCATCATAATGAAAAAATTAACAGTTGGAGAGGAAGCTGGGTCCCACACATGAAACAGCAGGTCAACAAAGGCGACTGAACTTGTGGGATAACGGTCCAAATTTTCATTTTTTTGTCCCAAAAATTTAGTTCAAACAAAGGCTTAATTTGGTTTAGATTTATTGATAGTGAGATATAAATATATATTGAATTCAATGAATTAATAATATAAAAGTAGACGGGCAAAAAAATACATGAGGAAACCGGCAGTTTAAAATCAGACCAAACCGTTAGGTCTAATGATTTGATCTAGTCTGAGTTTGTTTTCAAACCGTTCAAAATGGTTTAATTTAGGTTTGAATTTTTCTTAAACTGGTAAACGATTTGGTTTGAAAATTTGTCAAAAATCGATAAAACCGTATCGCTTACACCCCTAGTTACAAAGTTGGTTGAAAAAAAGTACATTTCATTCTCTTTAAGCTCGGCCAAATATGCTCACACCATTTACATGTCAATGAAGGATGCAATTCCTAGATTTTCGAATCAAGGTACAAAAAAAATGACACTATGTTAAATCAATAATTAATGTTGGGTTTAAACTACCAACACTCACACCAATGGGTCCCACTTGTATAAAAAACTACAAAAAAAAAAAAAAAAAAACCCACCCGCCCCCTGATGCTGTGAGTGTTCCTGTGCATGAAGCACAACCCACGTTAAATTCATGATACCAAAGCAAGGATTGAAAATTACAAACATACCCTTGTGCTACCAGGGAGATATATATACATATACTAACATTTCAACCTGATGGAATCCACGTTATGCAAGTCTCAAGTTTAATGTAGTTTATATACCATTCTAATCGCATTGGAACCACAATGTTTTTAATAGCATAGTAATTAAAATACGCCGAGGATGCTCAAAGCTAGTGCAGTCGAGCCACAAAAAGCGAAACCAGAGACTTCCGAGCTACAACATAAATTTGTTGTTGAAACTCCATTGCTTTGTCGGGTAAGATCAAATGCATTTGATGAAAATAAGGGGAAGTGAAAATTCCTGGAATCCCTTTAAGACTGGTTTTTTCCATTGTCAGTGGACGTTTTACCTGAAATTCAATGAGGGACAGGACAAAACGGGGACTTCACTTCCACCCTCGTGCAGACTTTGTCTAGATGCGATCCAACCAATCAAATATACTGTCTTGAGAAGCAAACTGCAAATCCTGAAAGCATTGATCAGGATTATATGAGTAATCAATTAATGACGTCATGTTTTTGGAATTATTTTATTAAAAAGATAAATACAAGTCACAGGAAGAAGAGCTTACTTCCAGCTGAAAATCTGGTGGAGTATCCAATTCTAAGTTCTCGAGATCAGCAATTCCGAAGGTACTATTTCCATCCCCCTGCGTTAAGTTGGTTATGTTGCGAGCAACTTGAGTGTTCGAAGAATTTATAGGCCTTAAATCACTCAACGGTGCGTAAGAATCAATTATCTCATTGCATAATAGCAAATCATCCATATCAACAGCTTGGTATTCTCCAGCCAAAGTAGCAGTAAAGTCAATTTGTTCCTTCAACTGAGGATAAGATAAAGGATGAGACGACTTTTTGAAAGTCTCCACTTCCTGCTTCAGAATACAATAATTACAATGACATCTATCAGGATACATTTGATTTCAAGAAGTCTAGATATTCAGTTAAAAATGACCGCTATACAAATAACTTAAACTTAAACGTATATGTTTTCAATTAAGAGCAAGCAAAAAGATCTTAAATCCAGATAGCCACACGTGCTTGTCCAATTACAAAGAACGTGACACTCACAGAATGGGGAACACCAAATCAAAGATTCACCTAAAAATGCAATCATGGATCAACTATTAAGCTGAAAGGATCGTTTATCAGCTAATGAGAGCATCATTATGGACGAAAGGAGTTTATACTTCCACATTAGGAAACTCAGCATTGCATTCGGTTTCTATAATTCGAGCTAAAACTAAAACAATGTATACATCAAATTTGATTTAATGTTATGTAACAATTCCCAACAAGTGGAAGCTTCTTGGCTAATATAGTGAATTGTAACGTTGCAGCCATCAAAGGAACAGATACTTAGTTTACTAATCTATAACAATACTTGAGATATAAGTTAATAGAGTTTTCCAATAAGCATTATGAATCCGCATGTTGCATCCAACAAGTATCTTGTGCATCAATTTCAAAAAGAAAATTCCTGCAGGAAGAAATGGCCAACTCAACAATCCAAACAGCCAATAAGTTTGCAATTAATATATTGCCACCAACCTGGAGAGGTGATGGTATTATCCCCTTATCAGATACTGCATCAGGAGTTTTCACTGGTTTAGGACGAAAGGGAGTATTTGTCTTTGGAGTCTTGGGACTTCCGTGGGTTGTCCCGATATCAGATTCTTCAGGATTCAAATTAGTCTCATTCTTGTCAGTCTCCTTCTGTGGTTGGTATGAGATCTTTGAAACCACATACTCTCCTTCCCTCTCGTCTTCATCAGTCCCCAGATGGAACTGATGCATAACCCAGTTACATTTATTAGGCTTGGATCCCTTCTTTGTTGTTTCATACAGAACCATGATTTTCTTACAACCTTTTTGATTCCCATTTTGCATCAAGGGTTTGGTCTTCCCTGTCTTATGCCAGCGGACGTGTCCTTTTTCCACACTTTCTTGGCCATGAATCCTTCGGCGTTTACGACGACCACTAGCATACGCATTGATTGTCCGATAAAAGAAGTGAACACTGCTTCCATCCTTTTTAGCACCTGAAACAAATCCAGATGAGCATAAGAATAGTCTAATAACAAATATATATTGGGACGATTAACCTTAAAATCGATTTTACAATCCGAGATTTGCCTTCATCTTATACACTCTATATCTCAATTGTACTGAACCAAAGTTATACATACTAACACTGCCTTAACATATCTATATCTGACTACACCCGCTCTTGTACTAGGATAAAGTTCATGAGACTAACTCGTAACCTTAAAACCGGTCAACAATTTGACGTTTTCCTACATCTTATAGACTGCAGATCTCAATAGTACCAAGACGATGAGGAACATGCTACATTGAATTTAAGTGAGTGAACCAAAGAAGTATATTATCTAATAAACACATACAATCGACCAACTCATCTATTAGAACTATTTTATTACATCAGTTTAAGCTTAGGATTATGATCCAATGAAAGCCTTCCATTACAATTTCCATTAAACACACGCATATTAATGCACAAAATCAGGCAAGAATTGTGAGGTAATCTAAAGAACATAGCCAATTGTGTTAAAAGTAAGTCAAAATTACTTTTAAGTTATTTATTTTGTTAAACATGATTTGCAAATTTATTATTTTCAGCAAAAAAATTTGCTTCTTTAAAGAAAGTCAAGATTAACTTTCACTTCAGCCCAACATGATAGCATTGGCAGAAGAAAAACGACAATAACAGACATAATTTATCTAAGAGTTAGGTGTTCACTCACCTGGAAGATTTTCGGGATGGGTGTAACATATCCCCTCTTCACCTTCAAGAGTCGGGATGAATTCATCAATAAACATGTGCGGCTTCGAATTCCCCACCCCACATTTTGCAGCCAAATGTTCAATCAGCTCCTCATCAGTTGGATCAAACTTTACACCAGCAGGGAGGCCAGGCCAATCTTGAGAAACCTGCACATAACGAGTTTGTAAGTAAATTCAAGAATAAATTTCACCTGGAAAAATAATAAACAAATTAGGGCCTGTTTTGATTTGGCATGTTTTCCATGGAAATTTATTTTTCCCCATTTTCCAGCTTTTGGGAGTGTTTGATAGCAAAAATTTTCCATGCAATTTATTCTCCATCTTCTCCACACGTGCCATTTCCATGATTTTGTGCAGGTGAGAATTGGTTTTCCAGCCTTTTTTCTCAAATTTTTTTTTTTTTTATGGCAATTGGATCAAATTATATCCCCAATTGTAACAAATTTTGTCTTTTTAATTGATAATTTTCATTAAAAGCAAAGTTAGACGAACACCAAAAGATAGAAAATTTCAACATTTTCCTGATGAAAAATTATATCAATCAAACACATTAATTGACATTTTCCAAGAAAACAAGTTCTAGGCAATTCAATTCCCTAGAATTCGTTTACTTTATACCCAAATTTCATTTTTACAATCAAACGGATCCTTAATTCAAGTATCAACATATATATCACATTCAAGAATAAAATTTCACCTGAAAGAAGAAAAAAATAAAATTAATTCAAGAAATTAATGCAACTATTTTCTTAGATACATAAAGAATGCCAGCTTACATCACTGTTATCAATGCGATGGTGGCAATTCGGGCATTCCCGATTCACCTCACATTCTTTGATTTGACATGCAGCAGGAAGAGTAGCATTTTTCACTTTTCTAGCAAGTCCTCTGCTATCAATAAGCCAAGATCTGCAACAATTATACTGTTAGTCAAACCAAACAGAAGCATATTTCAATGAAAGAAAAAGGATAGCATTTCTAGAGACATATGGCAACACCAATTCACAAAGTAAACTGTTGAAGAATCAACCTCCCATGGTGGATTTTTCGGGCTCAGTTTCATCGGTCTCAACCTTATTAAACACACTCAAGTATGACTCCAACTCAACAACAGGCTTAACTCAATGTGTTCACAAAGAACACAATAGGGTGGCTGCAATGAATAACCAAGAATAGAGGTAGACAGGTTCAATTTCAAGGCTCAAGGGAGAAAACAAGAGAAAAGTCGGCTGCCTCTTTCTTCCAATTGCACACCCACGGCTTATTCAACAATGAGGCCAATATATATAGTTTTAGGGTGTAATAGTAGTGGACTAATATAGTGGGCTCATGGACCAACTAATGGTTAAAGGGACTGAAATACAAAAGTGAGCCATCCAAAAAGTAAATGAGCCGTGAGCAACATTAACTATATTAAGTTGCTTCAAACGACCCTCAAGTTTTTTTTCGAGTTGAGCCAATTAATCGAGTGTATTAATAAATATTTCAATCATCGGCCGAAACCTATTAAATCTAATCCGACTATCCGACACTATTTAACATCATCGTCCGAGATTATTGGGTATCAAAAAACCCAACATAAACACAGACACAACTCTTAGTAACTTAAATGCGTAGACAATACGTATTTTAACATGAAACCAAACTCAATTAGTTAATTAGAGAAGAATATCTTCATCTCGAGTTTAAATTATTGATTCGAACAATTCTCAGGGGTGCTACACAATCCTTTTTCTCACTCCATTCAGTTCATCAATAAATTTACTGGGAGATTAAAAGCAACTAGATCAAGCAAGTTTCAGCAATGAGTAGGAAAAATTCTCAAGGTATATTCTCTGAACTTGCATTGTGATAACATTATTTTTCTGTGGGCAACAATCTACCTTTACAAATTAATGAACCAAAATTTTCAGATGTTTAAAGTAAATTTCTCTTGCTTTTCAGATTAACCATTAATTTGAAAAAGAATTGGCGACACGAAATATATTTGCAAAATGAAACACGCTGCAAATGTATATTAGAAATCAGTTAGACTCAAGTTAACAAAAGTCGAATGCTTTCTCTTGAATTAGCAGGTACCTAATTTACTCTCAAAAAAGATAGTAAAAATGCCAGAAATTACAACTGTCTACCATAAAATATTATAAAATTGACTTCCACATTAAAAAAAAATAAAAAATAATAATAAGACACCCTGAAATTGATAGTGTTTTTGACTCAAAACCAAGATAGTACAATCAAAAACGAGAGTAAAAAATAACAGAGCTTCCATTGTTCGTAATGCGGTTAAACCTCATCTCTCTTGGAGCTTCGGGAAAAAACCTAGAAATTAATCAAAACACCATACAAAAGATAGATAAAAGGCAAAAATTTTGCACGAAAACTTATCTAAATTTATACATGCTTGCCCACTCAGATGATTCTAAATCATACCCAAAACAAAACATAATCCAGATTTTAAAATCAATTTTCATCGCCAACCCATTCAATTATTATACAAGAAAAAACAAATTTAAGATAAATTTCAGAGTTCACATTGTACCTAGCCATGATTCAGAATCTACGGAATAAGTATACAGTGTATTCGAAGCTGCGATGAGAGTGTAAGGCAGTTTCCTCTTTACTCCGCTGGGCGAAAAAAGCGAGTGTATACGAGCGGGAAAACTCAGGTGGTGGTGTGTTATTGGGGCCTTTGATTTCCCAAGCCTAAGGCTCGGGTTGGTACCCTATGTTACGTAGAGAAAACCAAAATTAAAATTAAAAGCTGGTTTTACATAGCTTTAAGAGTTTGTAAAATTTTCCAAACTTTTTAATAAATTTTGAGATTAAAATATTGATAAATATTATGCTCCCGTTTATTTTTCATTATTTGCTCATTAAAATAAAAAATATAATCGTTATCCATCATATCAAGTCATCATATTTGACTTTCTATATCTTGTGTGGGGTCCATAACGACTATATTTTTCATTCTCATTTTTACATTAATGTGTACCAAACAATATCTCATAAAATGAATAGTCATATTTAATTATTGATTTTGACTTTAAATTTATTAATTGTTACATAATTGTGCTTAAAATCAAAAAGCTCACATTTTCAATCGCATTTTTAATTATGAATTCTTTATATATTCGGAAATAGAGAATATTACATGAAGAAATTGAGAGAAAAATAAAAATATTCATTTAAAGAATATGAACCTTGAGAGATAATTCAGTGGTCAGGTCTTGAATTTACTCCCTAATGATCACTAGTTCGAATCCCTCAATTCCCTTAATGCCACTGAAGTGAGTACTCGAATGTAAATTTCAGAGCCTCGTAGACGTGGGATTAGTCATGTGCACATAAACTGGCTTGGAAACTCACGTCATTAAAAAAATTTAAAAAAAAAAATTGTTCTTGTACTTTTCTTTATTTATTTTTTTTTTATTTTTTATTTTTTGGTTCATTCAAAGCGGCTGGGCTAGTTGAAAAAAGAGATTTTTTTGAAAGGAAAAGAAAAAGAAAACATTTTCCTAATGAAGCATTTTTACTATCGGAGCTGAGTCCGAGCCTCGGTTATAGAGTGGTTTAAGTTTTGAGGTAAAACGGTAATATTTTTTATGACTTGCCCTCCAAGCTATAAATGGAAACTGTTACTACTGGACTGTCCCTTAATGTATTCTGGTGGGCCACCATTAGAAGACTATCTGGTTGCTAGGATGAAGGAAAAAATCTGCCTTTAGATTTTGACCATGTTTTGATCTATTTTTAAATTTTACTTTTTCTTAAATTTATCTTTAATCCAACTTGCTTTCGATAAGATAATTTCAGAGCTCGTTTGGTACGAATTAAAATTTAATTTTAATATAAATCAAAGTTGAACAATCAATATTAATCGCATCATTCATGAATTTCACAACTTTTCAATCATATATTTCAAAAATTTCTATCACAATCTATTAAAAAAATCTAATTTTTTTATATTTTGACTATGTTTTCATCTATTTTTAAGTTTTATTTGTCTTAAATTCATCTTTAATCCGACTTGCTTTCGATAAGATAATTTCATAGTTGATTCCCTACTTTTTTTAATTTTACATTCTTTACAAAATTGTATTTCACAAATAATCTCAAAAAAAAATCCCTACCAAACAATGACTTT